AACAGGAGAAATTCACCTGAACAGACTTCTACTTTCAGTCCTTGACTTCTTTCCAAAGCACTGTATCTAAACATCCCCCAAAATGAAGACAGACACTAAAGCCTCAGTACTCAGACTTAACAAATCTGAGCAGCTATAATAAATAGTCAAAATTTGGAGTTCAGCAACACGCTTAAACAAGATGTGCCCTTTTAGATTCCCTGGTACAGTGAAAGTCAAGAGAAACAGAGCTAAATGACCTTGAAATACATGCTACAAGCAAGGTGCCGAGGCCAACAAGCTGTTGTTTCCCTACAGAACAGTCACAGACGACCTGTTGTACACATGAACAGAGTGGGGCAAGGAAGATGTGTGCTCAGAGACCATTTTCTTACTGCAATTGGTTAAAACATTACAACTCGATTAAACTTAAGAACCATTCTCCTTCCCCTCAACCATCACAAGAAGTCAAAGGCTTTTCAAAGTGTTCTTGATACTCTGCTGCTTACACCACTTCATGTTCAGCTTAAGTGTTCAACATCAGTCCCCTCCTTTTCATGAACGTACTTTATTTCTTTTGACAGAGTTCTTGTGATAGAACTCAACTTTGTATTTGGCATAAAGGTATTGTCAGGGTACAGCTGATCCCAGCAGTAGTTTTATAGTTACATATCCTCAGGTAACGCTCCTTTAAGCCAACAAGTTAAGAGATGTTGACTAATGCTCAAATCACCACACGGATTCCAGTCTCAGCACACAAGTGTCCCACAGCTCAAACTTTTGTACCCCTCTGTTCCTTATACGTCAGGCCTGTGCACTATCAGAATTCCACCTGTCCGTGCAAGCACTTTATTTTGCTGCAGCAATGCAAGTTTACTCTTGAACACTGACATCTGTGTGTCCAGAGAGATAAGAACCATGAGAGATCAGCTCTGCACAAGTGTTCTGCTTTTATGACAAACTCTCCAGGACTTCAGATCCTTCCATTTCTCCCCAGAGCTGAAACACATTTTGTAGAAGTAGTTTCCGTGGTGTAGGTACCACCTTATTTTCCCACAGCTCTAAAGCACGTCAGGAAAGCCTCCTCAAACATGGAAAGTTTCACCTCTCTCTCCAGTCCCTTTTAGCTCCGATTCCCATATCTCTATCACCAAATCACAAATCAACACTGGCTTACAAAAAAACTTAGAAAGTATCTGTGATACTGCCCAAATTCATAAAAAACACCTTTCTCCAGGACGGAATTGCCATAATCAGCACAGGTTGTAAAGGACAGTGGTTCTGGCGCATCACCCACAGATACTATTGTTAATACCAGAAGTGCCAAGAACAACTAACAATTACTGAATACGTTGTACAATAGTGGCGGTATCAGTAGTATCTTGTTCTCCAACTGAAGCAAAAGCAATGTTTAAGGAATCAAGCATAAGGTAACAGTGGAACTTTTCTCTTTATAAATAGATTTCTCTACATCTTCTCCAAAAGGACCTAAACAGACTGCCATGCCAGACAGTTGGTCCAGCATACCTACCGGGGTTTTGTATTTGATTCAAACTACTGATTCTTACCACAACAAGTTGCTGACTTGCAGAACGTATGGACTTTGACAGAGTCCCACTTTTGTTCCTGGTATTTCTACTACAAGTTTTGATACTGACCGCCGATTACAGACACACTCAGCAGCAGCAAGAGTACGTTTCTTGGAAATAGCAGTACTGATGGCCTTCGTGATGCATTTCACCAGAGCTCTGTTCTGTAGGTCAGGTTTGGCAACGCCTACATCTGTCCAGCTGATACTGCCAGCGTTTCTTGTAGGAACAATGAACACAGTTCTGTGTGCCATCAACCTGCCTTTGCACTTCTGCTGGCTTGATGGCAAGTACGTCCAGTGGGTTTACGAGGGTCAGAGAGAAGCACGTCAGGTACCCCTCACCAGGCATGCAATGCGTTTCTACCTCTGCAGCAAAAGTGCTGACAAATTACACCATATGCCAGCAGACAAGAAGGAGCCAGGCCATTTCTCCTGCAAAGCAGAAACTCACCCTTGTCTTGGCACGTTAGTCACTGACTCACAGCACTTGCCCTGCATCACCTCGGCAAACAGCACTCAGAGAAACTACAGGCTCTAGATTTGCTCAGTCTGGTTAATATTTATTTTTAGTCTCTGTCTAGTGTTCTGCTACAAAGAGCTGTAGCGCAGGATTCCCATCAGCCCACCAGAGTGGTGCCTGCTTCCCTTCCCTCCCCTTGTGCTACAGAGCATTGCCCGGCAAAGTGAAATACCAATGGGGAGAACAGTCAGAGGGGATAGCACTGCCGGGGAAAGAAATACGGAATGAGTTATTGAAAAGTTACAAACAGAACAGCAGTCATTGTCACCACTAGAAAAAAGGCAAATATCATACAGGGGTGTATCATGAAGTAAACTTTCCCCACATACTCTGGATTATTAATGTTTCATCTAGACCACTGCATACAGGACTTTGGTCAAAAAACAAACAAACATGGATTAATGAGGGAGAATCAAAAGGAAAGAAAACTAGTAAAGAAAACATAGCTCCCATCAACTTACCCTTGCTACCCAACTTTCAAGTCCTAATCCCAAACCAGTTGTTACACCATTAGCCTGTGCCAGGAAACATCAAAATCTGCTTGCTAGGTCGAGTTCAGAGCATACTAACCCCAGCAGAGATACTTTTATTAGACCAACTTTAAAAGCAGAGTTGAAGAGCCTCCTATTAAGCCTTGCTTCCAGAGATTTCTAACTAGCTGTCCGACCTGAGCATATTATTGTGTATGGTGGGGGATTATGTAGCATGGCTTAAAGCTAACAGGAAAGCTTTAGCATAATTTTCTGTACAGCCTCTTTGCCTAGGGCATATCTGGACACTAAAACTATAAAATTACATTGCAGGTGACCCTCAAAATTAGACTGCAATTAAAGAATGGAGTCAGTAAACAAGGCTCTCATACTGTCAACTTCATTCACCAGGGAAAAGATGCGCTACCAGAAGTGCCGTCTCCTGGGAAGAATCTGCTAACAGGATTGAGATGTGAAGTGATTCAGAACCATTTAGATAGCCAGAATGGTTACCAGTACAGTGACAGCAAGGACACTAGTGTTCAACCAAAAGTGGCAAGCCTAGATGCGGAAGTTGAATATGGCAATGTGTACTTGTGGAAATGCATGAAATGCTGAGCACCCTCAGACCAAATAAAAACCAGCAGAAGCTCAGGAGGTGAGGCGTCTCCTTTC